TTTTGTATTACATTCGTGGAGATAAAGAGACTTTGAGAACTGAAGGAGATGCCAGAAAGGACAAATGTTTGAGCACTCAAAAATCTCCATCTTATTTTTGATACTGTTAATGGTTTCAGAAACGTTTGAGAATGTGTGTCATGTATTAACATTACAGAACGCTTAACCAAGTAAATCTGAACTTGTTCAATCGATCCACGTGTATTCCTCCATAATAGCCCGCACACGATCACAGTAAAAACACACAAATTATAAGAAAAACAATTGCTTATAATTGCAAACAAAAGTATAGGCTAAAGTTTGGTCAATGTTAAAAACTACTTGCCTTTCCTTATTCAATAAATGTGCTGAGAGGAGGAGCGTGCACTAATATTGATATGTGATACAAATCAAACATATTTGTCATGAAGGTGGTTGAAGCAAGGGAGGAAGCAGGATCCAAATGCAGCACACTTTATTAACTAAACTACAAACTATACAAACTCACAGCAGGAAATAGGACTCAGGGACAGAACAACCAACATCCATGTTACAACATCAAGAACTCACAAGGACTGGACTGAAACACAGGGCTTAAATACAAGGGCAAACGATCTAAACAGGATAACAAGGGGGCGTGGTTAACGGGAAACACCTGGGAAGACTAATAGAGATAACGGGGAGCGGGAAAACAGGGAACAGGACTGAACCAAGTGCACAAAGACAGGGGGAACACAGACAGACATCACAACATAGCCCCCCCTCTATGGGCGGCTCCCGACGCCCAACAAAACAGGAAACTAGACAGTTCGGGAGGGTGGTGGAGCGGAGGCGGTCCCGGGGGAGGGATGGAGGGCCAGGTCCGCGCAGGGAACGGGACCAGGGCCTTGCAATGACGGGCATGAGCCATGGAACGTGGGCGGAGCAGGACGAACAGACTGCCAGGGCGGAGCAGGCTGTGGGCGTTTCCACGACGGAGCAGGCTGAGGGCGAGGCAACGGCGGAGCAGGCTGTGGGCGTGACCAGGGCGGAGCAGGCTGTGGACCCTCGGGCATCCAGGGCGGAGCTGTCGGACCCTCAGGCTTCCAGAGTGGATAAGACCCCTCGGGCGGCCACGGCGGTGAAGACCCTTCGGGCGGCCACGGCGGAGAAGACCCCTCGGGCGGCCACGGCGGTGAAGACCCCTCGGGCGGCCACGGCGGTGAAGACCCCTCGGGCGGCCACGGCGGTGAAGACCCCTCGGGCGGCCACGGCGGTGAAGACCCCTCGGGCGGCCACGGCGGTGAAGACCCTTCGGGCGGCCACGGCGGTGAAGACCCTTCGGGCGGCCACGGCGGTGAAGACCCTTCGGGCGGCCACGGCGGTGAAGACCCTTCGGGCGGCCACGGCGGTGAAGACCCTTCGGGCGGTGAAGACCCTTCGGGCGGCCACGGCGGTGAAGACCCTTCGGGCGGCCACGGCGGTGAAGACCCTTCGGGCGGCCACGGCGGTGAAGACCCTTCGGGCGGCCACGGCGGTGAAGACCCTTCGGGCGGCCACGGCGGTGAAGACCCTTCGGCCGGCCATGGCGGAGAAGACCCTTCGGGCGGCCATGGCGGTGCGGCCTTCACAGTCCCATCCAGGGTCCTACTGCCCCCCCCCAAAATTTTCTTAGGGGCAGCCATGGGGTCATCAGCAGGATCAGCGGGCTCTGGCGCAGGATCAGTGGGCTCTGGCGCAGGATCAGCGGGCTCTGGCGCAGGATCAGCGGGCTCTGGCGCAGGATCAGCGGGCTCTGGCGCAGGATCAGCGGGCTCTGGCGCAGGATCAGCGGGCTCTGGCGCAGGATCAGCGGGCTCTGGCGCAGGATCAGCGGGCACCGGCTCAAGTGTGTGCGTAGCCCACACACACCACATGGTTGTGGCCATAATGGCCAGTGTTGCGGTCACTGAGGGCTCAGGCGGCGCATGCGTGACGTGATCGGTCTCTGGCTGGGCAGACGTGACGTGGACGGTCTCTGGCTGGACGGTCTCTGGCTGGACGGTCTCTGGCTGGACGGTCTCTGGCTGGACGGTCTCTGGCTGGACGGTCTCTGGCTGGACGGTCTCTGGCTGGACGGTCTCTGGCTGGACGGTCTCTGGCTGGACGGTCTCTGGCTGGACGGTCTCTGGCTGGACGGTCTCTGGCTGGACGGTCTCTGGCTGGACGGTCTCTGGCTGGACGGTCTCTGGCTGGACGGTCTCTGGCTGGACGGTCTCTGGCTGGACGGTCTCTGGCTGGACGGTCTCTGGCTGGACGGTCTCTGGCTGGACGGTCTCTGGCTGGACGGTCTCTGGCTGGACGGTCTCTGGCTGGACGGTCTCTGGCTGGACGGTCTCTGGCTGGACGGTCTCTGGCTGGACGGTCTCTGGCTGGACGGTCTCTGGCTGGACGGTCTCTGGCTGGACGGTCTCTGGCTGGACGGTCTCTGGCTGGACGGTCTCTGGCTGGACGGTCTCTGGCTGGACGGTCTCTGGCTGGACGGTCTCTGGCTGGACGGTCTCTGGCTGGACGGTCTCTGGCTGGACGGTCTCTGGCTGGACGGTCTCTGGCTGGACGGTCTCTGGCTGGACGGTCTCTGGCTGGACGGTCTCTGGCTGGACGGTCTCTGGCTGGACGGTCTCTGGCTGGACGGTCTCTGGCTGGACGGTCTCTGGCTGGACGGTCTCTGGCTGGACGGTCTCTGGCTGGACGGTCTCTGGCTGGACGGTCTCTGGCTGGACGGTCTCTGGCTGGACGGTCTCTGGCTGGACGGTCTCTGGCTGGACGGTCTCTGGCTGGACGGTCTCTGGCTGGACGGTCTCTGGCTGGACGGTCTCTGGCTGGACGGTCTCTGGCTGGACGGTCTCTGGCTGGACGGTCTCTGGCTGGACGGTCTCTGGCTGGACGGTCTCTGGCTGGACGGTCTCTGGCTGGACGGTCTCTGGCTGGACGGTCTCTGGCTGGACGGTCTCTGGCTGGACGGTCTCTGGCTGGACGGTCTCTGGCTGGACGGTCTCTGGCTGGACGGTCTCTGGCTGGACGGTCTCTGGCTGGACGGTCTCTGGCTGGACGGTCTCTGGCTGGACGGTCTCTGGCTGGACGGTCTCTGGCTGGACGGTCTCTGGCTGGACGGTCTCTGGCTGGACGGTCTCTGGCTGGACGGTCTCTGGCTGGACGGTCTCTGGCTGGACGGTCTCTGGCTGGACGGTCTCTGGCTGGACGGTCTCTGGCTGGACGGTCTCTGGCTGGACGGTCTCTGGCTGGACGGTCTCTGGCTGGACGGTCTCTGGCTGGACGGTCTCTGGCTGGACGGTCTCTGGCTGGACGGTCTCTGGCTGGACGGTCTCTGGCTGGACGGTCTCTGGCTGGACGGTCTCTGGCTGGACGGTCTCTGGCTGGACGGTCTCTGGCTGGACGGTCTCTGGCTGGACGGTCTCTGGCTGGACGGTCTCTGGCTGGACGGTCTCTGGCTGGACGGTCTCTGGCTGGACGGTCTCTGGCTGGACGGTCTCTGGCTGGACGGTCTCTGGCCCTCCGCACTGACATCAGCGGCGGCTGTGCCATGGTGGACATCAGTCCTGGACGCCCATAGACCGACGTGTTGGCAAGCTTAAAGGCTGACGTAACGAGAAGGACAGGCTGAGGGAATACTGCAGGCTCACGGAGCTCCTCCTCCACGGCCACAGTAAATGAAGAATCGCTCAGGAAAAGGGCCAGGTTGATATACCTTTTTAGCGTCCAGCCGGTATAGACCTCCGGCATCATCTGAGCGATCTTCTCGTCCAGCCCGCTCCGGAACAGATCCATGAGCTGGGCATCATCCAAAGATGCTAAATGGCAGCACGCCCAGAAATCCTTCACATACCTTTCAATGCCCTGGCTATCTTGGAACATTGAGGAAAGGAACTTCTTCAGGGCCTGGTTGCTTGTGGCTGCTGGACTCATTTCGGTGAGTTCTTCTGTCATGAAGGTGGTTGAAGCAAGGGAGGAAGCAGGATCCAAATGCAGCACACTTTATTAACTAAACTACAAACTATACAAACTCACAGCAGGAAATAGGACTCAGGGACAGAACAACCAACATCCATGTTACAACATCAAGAACTCACAAGGACTGGACTGAAACACAGGGCTTAAATACAAGGGCAAACGATCTAAACAGGATAACAAGGGGGCGTGGTTAACGGGAAACACCTGGGAAGACTAATAGAGATAACGGGGAGCGGGAAAACAGGGAACAGGACTGAACCAAGTGCACAAAGACAGGGGGAACACAGACAGACATCACAACAATATTGATATATGCTGTACCCACACAATACCAAAAGACTTGTTCATGACAAATGAGCCGTCCCAGAGAAACACGTACAGTTTTAAAAACAGAAGTATTTTAGTTAAAGTCGGCATGATAGTCTTTTCTTATTGTGACGTAGCCTATCCGAGTGAAATGGCTTCTCGAACAAGAAAAAAAACGCATTTCTTAAGTATCTTAGGTTGATTTTTTGTGTGGACCGAAAAACTACAACTTTTTTGGTAATGCCACTGATGCATAATATGTTTTATGTGTTTAAACTTTTCTTTTCTTTCTTTTTTTTGTGAAACTTTACATTTCATTTCTGCCGAGGTTCTATCTGTTCTATCTTTTTTTTTATTATTTATCTGTTTATTGTTTGATGCATTATAATAAAAACAATAATTGGATGGTTGTGGTCGATCTCATTTGAGTGACAGGTTGCCCCTCGTGCCAGTAAACACATCGTCAGAGCAGAAAAGATGAGATACAAGGATACAAGCATGATACAAGAGGGAGGGGAAGTTTTTTTGATTAAAGGTTACGAGGGCACATGGAGAAAAATAACAAATTACAATAAATCATTAAAAGTGTATTATAAATACAGCTAAATTTAATTTTAAATAAATAAATAAAATAAAATAATTGTCCATTTTGATTTCATGGTGACTTTAACCAGCTTTGACCTTACAGCGGAACGTTTAATAGGAACCATGTACACACGAGCATGTTTCCGCCCGGAGGTGTGAGTGTCGCAGCCCTTAAGAAGCAAGGACCGCCACACGCCATTGTATGAATTTGTTGCAAGTCTTTTTCGTTTAATTTTATTAAGAATTTATGCACAGTTAGATTTAACAGTCCACTGTTAAATCATCGACTCCCGATTTTAAGGAAAAACGTTTTATTTACAAGTAAGGACATGGCAACAGATTCGTGGGCCCAGGCTGTCGATGAACAAGAAGCCGCTGCGGAATCGGTGGGTTGAAACCTCAAACTGAACACAATAATTATATGAAACTGAATAATTTAATCAAAGATTTTACAAAACAATAATTCACTTAGGTATTTTTAATCAATCAACTTTAAAGCTGTTGTCGCAGTAACAACACAAAGCATGCTAACTTGGGTTCAGATCAGTTTGGGCTTTTTAAACAAATTGCCTACAACGCGCTCGTGTGTGTGTGTGTGTGTGTGTGTGTGTGTGTGTGTGAGAGAGATACTGTATAATAATTAATAGTGTAATATTACTGCACTAATATTTTAGTTGCTCTTCTGTAACTTGTATTGCATATCCTCGACAAATTGCTAATAATACCCTTTTAAAGCTGTGCATGCATACATACATACATGCAATCGTAAAAGTCATTTCACTTTAATTAACAGATAAGCACCTTGCAAATAAATGAAAAAGATGACAAGCCGAAAGCTGAAGCAAATGGTAAGAATGCCCGTTCCTCAATACTTGATTGCATTGCTAAGTGTGATTGTGTTTTGAGCTTGTGGATTCCAATGATGAATGAGGTTGTTGATTTTTCTTCCTTTCCCTTCCCTTTATTAATAAGGAGCAAAGACAGAAGGAAATGGCAATAAAACAGAAGGAAATGGCAATAAGACAGAAGGAAATGGCAGTAAAACCGAGGAAGATGATAAAGGTGATTTATGGTATAGACTGCAGGATCATCACATAGTCACAGCCTGTTTTCTTCTCGTATTGAAGTTCAATTTGGTTTGAGTATATGTGTGTATATTCTCTTCATGGGAGTTGACTAAAACGTATCTAAATTGCAGACGACAAGGCAGCACAGTCACTGTTGAATAAACTGATCCGCAGTAATCTAGTGAACACGACCAATCAAGTTGAAGTCCTCCAGAGGGATCCGAGCTCTCCACTGTACTCGGTCAAGTCATTTGAAGAGCTGCGATTGTGAGTTTGACTGTTTTTACACCTTCCTGATTGCATTGCAGCTTTAATGTGTGCAGACTAATGTAATAAGTAGTGCTGCCAAACAATTAAAATATTTAATCGTGATTAATCACATTAATGTCATAGTTAACTTGTGATTAATCGCACATTTTTATCTATTCTAAATGTCTCTTGATTTCTTTTTGTCCCATTATTTATTCTCATTTTAATGCTCTTCAACATGGAAAAGTGGATCGGCTTGCTTTGTGCAAATGTTTTTTATTGAAAACAACATTGGCATATACCGTATTTTCCGCACTATAAGGCGCACCGGATTATAAGGCGCACCTTCAATGAATGACCTATTTTAGAAAATTTTTCATATATAGGGCGCACCGGATTATAAGGCGCATGAGATACTGCAGTCAAACGTTTGACTGGGTTTGCGTTATGCATCCACTAGATGTGCTAAAGGGAATGTAGCGAGTGAGCGGCGCCGGAGGCGAGGCGTTTATTAGTAAGCGTGAGCGCGCTGGGGTGGGCACGTAACTTACATTCGCAGCCTGACTCATATTAGTATTCATGTGCGGCGGCTCGCTGACAGCAACAGCTGGCTGTTTTGAACGAGACGACCCGGTTACTGTGAACGGGGAACGTGCCATGAACATTCTGTGACGCGCGAGCAGCGCCGGGGGCAGTGTGTCTGTTCGTCCGTGTGTCTGTTCGTCCGTGTGTCTGTTCGTCCGTGTGTCTGTTCGTCCGTGTGTCTGTTCGTCCGTGTGTCTGTTCGTCCGTGTGTCTGTTCGTCCGTGTGTCTGTTCGTCCGTGTGTCTGTTCGTCCGTGTGTCTGTTCGTCCGTGTGTCTGTTCGTCCGTGTGTCTGTTCGTTCGTGTGTCTGTTCGTCCGTGTGTCTGTTCGTCCGTGTGTCTGTTCGTCCGTGTGTCTGTTCGTCCGTGTGTCTGTTCGTCCGTGTGTCTGTTCGTCCGTGTGTCTGTTCGTCCGTGTGTCTGTTCGTCCGTGTGTCTGTTCGTCCGTGTGTCTGTTCGTCCGTGTGTCTGTTCTAGTGATCGACCGATATATCGGCCAGCCGATATATCGGGCCGATATTTGCGGTTTTTACGTGTATCGGAATCGGCCGATACGCGGCTGCTGCGTTCGCCGATAGTTTTTTCCCGGCATTATTTATAGACAGGCGTCCACAGGCAGCTCTGTGCTGCTGGAGACGCTGCAGTTCACGTGCAGACCCTGCACTGCCCCTCCCCCACTAGCAGAGTGCAACCTGCGCTTCAAGATAACGGTAACTTTTAAACTTTCAAAGCATCTTTTAACTGTTTGACTGCTGAAATATTGTCAAACACTTTGAAAATGGAAACACGTTGCTCTATAACTGTTATGTGGTTGCAACTATATAGCTAAGCAAGTTTGTGGGTCCAAATGGAAATCGCGAATGACTCGTCTATAAAACTGCTTGCTTGCCATTGTATTTAGGGAGCTGCAAATAGCTGTAGGCTATCCGATCAGTATGCATTAGGGCTGTCAATGAATATTCTAAATACGAATATATATTCGAATAGTTTCAAAAAACTGAATTTTGAAGGTGAAAATTAATATTCGAATGTGGAAAAACACGCCCGCGGTAGCAGACTAACGTTACCACAGCACAGCTCGCTCGGAGCGCTCAGTGTCGGTTCTATGTACTGTGAAACTTCAATTAATGTATTTGTTTCAATCACTGAATGAAGCCTGCTGTATACCTTAAATTGCTTGCACAAAACTCTTGATCAGCACTCAACATTTGTTTGTTGTTGTTCATTTAAACCGGTATGCGCGGAGAGCGTGAGGGCGAGAGAGAGAGAGAGAGCGCCTGCGAGTCCGGGCGAGCCAGAGTGAGCTCTGCGGTCTTGGCCATTAGTTGATTTACTCGTTTTTTTTGTAGTAATACGTTGTCAAATATGTTTAAACTCAAATAAGCTACTTAATACTAGTAGTTATGTCTCTTTGTATTAATTTGTCCTGTTATTGACGTAATGCGCGTCATTGACCAAATGCACGACGATATGTTCAAATATGTTTTTTTGAAGGGAATATACATGTTCGTCCGTGTGCCTGTTCGTCCGTGTGTCTGTTCGTCCGTGTGCCTGTTCGTCCGTGTGCCTGTTCGTCCGTGTGCCTGTTCGTCCGTGTGTCTGTTCGTCCGTGTGTCTGTTCGTCCGTGTGTCTGTTCGTCCGTGTGCCTGTTCGTCCGTGTGTCTGTTCGTCCGTGTGTCTGTTCGTCCGTGTGCCTGTTCGTCCGTGTGTCTGTTCGTCCGTGTGTCTGTTCGTCCGTGTGCCTGTTCGTCCGTGTGCCTGTTCGTCCGTGTGTCTGTTCGTCCGTGTGTCTGTTCGTCCGTGTGTCTGTTCGTCCGTGTGTCTGTTCGTTCGTGTGTCTGTTCGTCCGTGTGTCTGTTCGTCCGTGTGCCTGTTCGTCCGTGTGCCTGTTCGTCCGTGTGCCTGTTCGTCCGTGTGCCTGTTCGTCCGTGTGCCTGTTCGTCCGTGTGCCTGTTCGTCCGTGTGCCTGTTCGTCCGTGTGCCTGTTCGTCCGTGTGCCTGTTCGTCCGTGTGCCTGTTCGTCCGTGTGCCTGTTCGTTCGTGTGTCTGTTCGTCCGTGTGCCTGTTCGTCCGTGTGTCTGTTCGTCCGTGTGTCTGTTCGTCCGTGTGTCTGTTCGTCCGTGTGTCTGTTCGTCCGTGTGCCTGTTCGTCCGTGTGTCTGTTCGTCCGTGTGTCTGTTCGTCCGTGTGCCTGTTCGTCCGTGTGCCTGTTCGTCCGTGTGCCTGTTCGTCCGTGTGTCTGTTCGTCCGTGTGTCTGTTCGTCCGTGTGTCTGTTCGTCCGTGTGTCTGTTCGTCCGTGTGTCTGTTCGTCCGTGTGTCTGTTCGTCCGTGTGTCTGTTCGTCCGTGTGTCTGTTCGTCCGTGTGTCTGTTCGTCCGTGTGTCTGTTCGTCCGTGTGTCTGTTCGTCCGTGTGTCTGTTCGTCCGTGTGTCTGTTCGTCCGTGTGCCTGTTCGTCCGTGTGCCTGTTCGTCCGTGTGCCTGTTCGTCCGTGTGCCTGTTCGTCCGTGTGCCTGTTCGTCCGTGTGCCTGTTCGTCCGTGTGCCTGTTCGTCCGTGTGCCTGTTCGTCCGTGTGTCTGTTCGTCCGTGTGTCTGTTCGTCCGTGTGTCTGTTCGTCCGTGTGTCTGTTCGTCCGTGTGTCTGTTCGTCCGTGTGTCTGTTCGTCCGTGTGCCTGTTCCTCCGTGTGCCTGTTCGTCCGTGTGTCTGTTCGTCCGTGTGTCTGTTCGTCCGTGTGTCTGTTCGTCCGTGTGTCTGTTCGTCCGTGTGTCTGTTCGTCCGTGTGTCTGTTCGTCCGTGTGTCTGTTCGTCCGTGTGTCTGTTCGTCCGTGTGTCTGTTCGTCCGTGTGTCTGTTCGTCCGTGTGTCTGTTCGTCCGTGTGTCTGTTCGTCCGTGTGTCTGTTCGTCCGTGTGTCTGTTCGTCCGTGTGTCTGTTCGTCCGTGTGTCTGTTCGTCCGTGTGTCTGTTCGTCCGTGTGTCTGTTCGTCCGTGTGTCTGTTCGTCCGTGTGTCTGTTCGTCCGTGTGTCTGTTCGTCCGTGTGTCTGTTCGTCCGTGTGTCTGTTCGTCCGTGTGTCTGTTCGTCCGTGTGTCTGTTCGTCCGTGTGTCTGTTCGTCCGTGTGTCTGTTCGTCCGTGTGTCTGTTCGTCCGTGTGTCTGTTCGTCCGTGTGTCTGTTCGTCCGTGTGTCTGTTCGTCCGTGTGTCTGTTCGTCCGTGTGTCTGTTCGTCCGTGTGTCTGTTCGTCCGTGTGTCTGTTCGTCCGTGTGTCTGTTCGTCCGTGTGTCTGTTCGTCCGTGTGTCTGTTCGTCCGTGTGTCTGTTCGTCCGTGTGTCTGTTCGTCCGTGTGTCTGTTCGTCCGTGTGTCTGTTCGTCCGTGTGTCTGTTCGTCCGTGTGTCTGTTCGTCCGTGTGTCCGTTCGTCCGTGTGTCCGTTCGTCCGTGTGTCCGTTCGTCCGTGTGTCCGTTCGTCCGTGTGTCCGTTCGTCCGTGTGTCCGTTCGTCCGTGTGTCCGTTCGTCCGTGTGTCCGTTCGTTCGTGTGTCCGTTCGTCCGTGTGTCCGTTCGTCCGTGTGTCCGTTCGTCCGTGTGTCCGTTCGTCCGTGTGTCCGTTCGTCCGTGTGTCCGTTCGTCCGTGTGTCTGTTCGTCCGTGTGTCTGTTCGTCCGTGTGTCGGTTCGTCCGTGTGTCTGTTCGTTCGTGTGTCTGTTCGTCCGTGTGTCCGTTCGTCCGTGTGTCCGTTCGTCCGTGTGTCCGTTCGTCCGTGTGTCCGTTCGTCCGTGTGTCGGTTTGTCCGTGTGTCCGTTCGTCCGTGTGTCCGTTCGTCCGTGTGTCCGTTCGTCCGTGTGTCCGTTCGTCCGTGTGTCCGTTCGTCCGTGTGTCCGTTCGTCCGTGTGTCCGTTCGTCCGTGTGTCCGTTCGTCCGTGTGTCCGTTCGTCCGTGTGTCCGTTCGTCCGTGTGTCCGTTCGTCCGTGTGTCCGTTCGTCCGTGTGTCCGTTCGTCCGTGTGTCTGTTCGTCGTGTGTCCGTTCGTCCGTGTGTCCGTTCGTCCGTGTGTCCGTTCGTCCGTGTGTCCGTTCGTCCGTGTGTCCGTTCGTCCGTGTGTCCGTTCGTCCGTGTGTCCGTTCGTCCGTGTGTCCGTTCGTCCGTGTGTCCGTTCGTCCGTGTGTCCGTTCGTCCGTGTGTCCGTTCGTCCGTGTGTCCGTTCGTCCGTGTGTCCGTTCGTCCGTGTGTCCGTTCGTCCGTGTGTCCGTTCGTCCGTGTGTCCGTTCGTCCGTTCGTCCGTGTGTCCGTTCGTCCGTGTGTCCGTTCGTCCGTGTGTCCGTTCGTTCGTGTGTCCGTTCGTTCGTGTGTCTGTTCGTTCGTGTGTCTGTTCGTTCGTGTGTCTGTTAGTAAGAGTGAGCGCTCGTGAGCGGGCACGTGACTTACACACATAACCTGATTTATACGAGGTTGAACTGGCCGTGTGACAGAGCGGGCATAAGATGGACACGAGCGCGAGTTCGCGGGCGAATTTAATAACACGGAGCGTTATTAACCAATTGATCCAATTAACCAATTGATCCATATATAAGGCACTCCGGATTATAAGGTGCACTGTCGTTTTTTGAGAAAATTAAAGGCTTTTAAGTGCGCCTTATAGTGCGGAAAATACGATACTGTGTTCAATTTCACACTAACATTCTCACTTGGAGCAAATAATCTCTCACACAATGTAACACTGTCCATCAATAAAAGTGTGAAAGAAATACTGACGAGGTCCTGATATTGACGAGGGGTCGGAGGATTCGCATCAGCTGTGTGTGTGTGTGTGTGTGTGTGCTTGGCCATCATCAAGTGGTGTTTCAGACTGGACGCGCAGCGATGATGATAGCTCAGTTCACAACGGCAAAACACACAGATCACTTTGGTCTCATCAATGGAACCATTTGGCAACTTTTTAAAAGTAAACTTTCCATTCAGAATCTTATTGGCATCTATTTCGGCGTCTCGCGCTCGTCATCCACTCAAAACGTAACGTTAACCTACTATTTGGCCGGCTCGCAAGCCTAAACAAGTGTGTGTGGCGTGCCTGTTGTCTTGTTTCCGGTCTAGCTAGATCCGCTTGCGCTTTGGTCGACGAAGCAACAAAACGACCTCGCGCGGCGCAAGCCATTGAAATTAATGGGTTTCATAGCGCAGCCGCGCATGCCGCATGTAAAAAAAACTACAAAGTTTGCTAGGCCAAAAAGACCGTTAATCGCGCGATAAATGAACACCATTAAAATGGGTTTGCGTTAACGCCGTTAATAACGCGTTTAACTGACAGCCCTAGTAATAACTATATGTAATTTCATGATATTTGTATTGATCAACTAAGATATACTTGGAAGAACACAGATCTTCTCTAAGGGTGTGTATTCACTAGTTCACTTCTCTTGGTTCTTTTGGCTCGGGCCAGAAAAAGAAAATAGCCGCTTTTTCTGTCAAACCAGTGCGAGCCAGGGCTAACAGCGTGATGGGCCTCGGACCTCAAGCACAGAGGCCAGAATCATGTTTTGTTTCCAGTAGCCCCGCAGCGCTGCCCTAAACACCCCCAAAGAACTACGTCACAACCTCACCATTACTGAGCCTGGCACATAATGGGCAACATATCTCCTATGATGAGAAAAAACATGTATGCTTGAGAATTTTGTCCTTTTTAGGGTCACATCTTGTGACATGTCCTGTTTTTGGTTTGTCTTTGATCCGTTGCAATCATTTTTCTGTCAAACCTCACTAGAGTTTGTTTGGAAGTGGACAGAGAACCACCTTTTCAGTTCTCGGTCTGCTTTTTTGGGGCACACCAGGGTTCAGATGGCAGCGTTTACGCTTTTGTTGTGTGTGTGTGTGTTAACTTTTACATTGAATTTTTTTTCCTTTGTTTCCCAGAAAACCTCAGCTGTTGCAAGGAGTGTACGCCATGGGTTTCAACAGGCCCTCCAAAATCCAGGAGACTGCATTGCCCATGATGCTCGCAGAACCGTAAGTTCTTTATTTAATCTATTTTCCTTCCATCCTGATGAGAGCAGAGTTTGAACACAACACCTTCTTCCCCTCCAGTCCACAGAATCTCATCGCTCAGTCTCAGTCAGGCACGGGTAAAACGGCTGCCTTTGTGCTGGCCATGTTAAGTCATGTGGACCCTGAAAACAAATGGCCTCAGGTATGCAACGCATGAGAATCAGTGGATGAAATGCATGTAAAATAATGCTTTAGTGTTAAAGTGACTCTCTCTCTTTGCCCAGTGTCTGTGTGTGTCTCCCACGTATGAGCTGGCTCTGCAGACAGGCAAGGTCATTGAGCAGATGGGGAAGTTTTACCCTGAAGTCCAACTAGTGTATGCCATCAGAGGAAACAAATGTGAGTGCTTTGAGCAGATGGGGAAGTTTTACCCTGAAGTCCAACTAGTGTATGCCATCAGAGGAAACAAATGTGAGTGCTTTTATATTTTGGAATTAAGGTTTACCTCATAACTCTTTAGCAACACATTATCTACTGCATATTTTCTTCATTTTTTGAATTTGTTGTTGACCCCTTTTTAGGGCTGTGCTATATATATATATATATATATATATAGTAGGGCTGCACGATTTGGGGAAAATGTCATATTGCGATTATTGAGGTCAATATTGCGATATGCGATTGCGATATAATAAACAAATGGTTTCATGAGTCAACTTGCTTGGTTCTAAAGCAAAATGCACACACAGATTAGTGATCATTCTGAAATGTGTATTTCTCAACTCAAACTAGCAACAACAACTAAATGATTGATAACACCTATAATGATCAATAAACCATTGATGTCTGGATAAAAATTAATTTAATTTTAATTTAAGTGAACTTCAAACAATCCTCACATAAACCCATAATAAATGTCATATTTACCTGTGCTCTTCCTGTCTATAGGACATATACAGAAATTGAATAAAGTTATCAAACAGTCTGCGCTGCATAAATTATATGGACTAAAATCCTATTTAAAGCTACACAAGAGCAGTGAGTGTTTTTCTCTGTTCCCTTTGTTCTTTGATTAACTTTACTGACAGAAAGCATTATAGGATGCTGGCCCTTTAAGAGTTGCTGATCTCACACGCGCCTTATTCTCTCACAGCTCTTTACGACCATCATAAGACTGCTCTTATGTTATGAAGACACTCGACAAATGATATTTTGGCTTAATTGTGTGTGTTGTTGTTCGTTCACTTCAGGGGGAAAGAGAACTGTATTCTGGCGCGCGGTCTGTGCATGCGCATGATAGTGGCGCGCGTCTTTCAGTCAGGACATGCACAGGCAGCGCGCTCTTTTAACTTGTCTCGCTGAATGGTTTAAAGGATTTGCATGAATAAGAGCGGGATCATGTAACACTAGCCAAAGGATGACAAAAAATAACAGATAATTTGTTTATTTCATATAAAATCGCAGTATTTTGCGTCATATAATCGCATAGGCTTGATATCGTGATAGTGCTAGCTTGACAGTGTTGTGATATGGTTTAGTGCGCTTGTCAAATCGTGCTGGGTACGATTGAATTAAAATGATGCGCTACCCATTTCAGACTTCATTCGTGTAAATGACCACCGTGCCACGCTTCATTCTAAAATTAAAATAAAATTAAGATGTAAATATTAGCATTTTAATTTGACAAATTTTTATTTATTTTTTTACACAGTACAATAATATTACATTATGTTTCTTATTTGGTTTAATATTTTTATGTAACAATCTCAATAAAATCAATTTATATTGAATTGGTTAAAAACAGCAGGAATGTGGCCTATGAACTCAAGTGAAAAGAGAATGAAAAAATTGGTTACTTTAAAGAGGTTTTAGATGGTTATTGGAAAAAGCAAACACAAATATAAACAAGTTTTTCCCAAATCATTCAGGTCTACAACAATTTAGCAATCAAAGTCCTCAGTGCAAAAGTAATATTTCCGTTTAAACAAATAAGTTGTATGCAGATGTTTTCCTCCACAAAATCCCATTAACTTTAGAATGATTAATTCTATCCAAATATAGTTAGTCATCTGCTGAAAAGTCCTGTGATCTTTTAATATTGCAGAAAAACAAAATATCAATGCTAAGTTTTTTCCAATATCGTGCAGCCGTGATGTCACCGTCAAAGGATTATTACATATTTATTACTTCGGATTAGCATGCAATAGTTGATATTGGCTGGTGTGACTGTATAATTGTGCATGTTATTGAGCCGTGTGTCTGGTTTGGTCCAGTGGAGCGGGGAACAAGACTACAGGAGCAGGTCGTGATTGGCACTCCGGGAACTGTTTTGGATTGGTGCCAAAAGCTCAAATTCATCGACCCCAAGAAGATCAAAGTGTTTGTGCTGGACGAGGCTGATGTCATGATCGCTACACAGGGCCATCAAGACCAGAGTATTCGCATCCAGAGGTACGTGATTTCCCTCACAGTTTGCTAAATGTCTACAGTGGCCTAAGACCTCACATCAACAGGCTACTTTCAATAGGCCAAATATATTAGCAATAGTTTTAGCTGTTGCAATGTGTCATAAGTAACTGAGTAACTCTGTATAGAGCGAACATGAGCATTTCTCTTATAATAAGCATTTTTTGACAACTGTTTGAGGCTGTCTACACTGGACACATCAAAGTAAACCCTATAAACGGGTATATTTGTCTTTCTGAATAGGTGCATGTTGATGCTGTAGAGCAGGGGTGTCCAATCCTGCTCCAACCCCAATTAAACCCACATGAAGCAGCTAATCAAGGTCTTACTAGGCGTACTATAAACTTCCAGGCAGGTGTTGAGGTGTGAGCTCTTCAGGGCAGAGTTAGGACACCCCTGCTGTATGGTATTGAAACGTCCATTGTAGTGCGTCGCATCACAATGCCAGGTTCGCTTTGACGCGTTCATGATGTATAATCTTTGAAGGTCTAAATGCAGTGAATTTTGGCTTGGACTTCAGTAAACCCGGAGTCTTTTCTCATGTAGTTAGGGTTGGGTATCTGTTCAATTTTAGCGATTCTGCTTATCGATTCTTGTTTCCGATTCCAATATTTTTTGGAGAGGGGGAAAAAAGGGCAAATTCTTGAAGAATAAATATTTTTGCCTTTTTATTCTTGCCCATTTTAAGCAATAACCAATAAAATGGCTAAAGTGAAAGGAGTCTCTTCAAATAAAGATTGTTGATTACATTGTTACTCCAGTAGGTGGCAAATCGACTGCTATTTTTATTTAATTGTTTTCATTGAATCGTTTATTCAAGAACACTCGAGAGATTCATTCAAAAGCGGTGAATCATCCATTAATTAAACGGATATTTATAAATGAGACACTGAATTAGTTTTAAACGTGTTTGAATTAATGAATCAAATGTTTTTTTTAATTTTGTTTTTTTTATAGAATGGAACATGTTATTCTGTGTAGTTGTCTATTCGTAATCTCTATTTTAAACGAAACAAAAATGATTGTAAACCAAATAGATTCTCAGTTTATCCTGAATTAGGGGCCGTTCACATCGCGTGGAAAGCGTGGCCGCGCCGCTTTCTCCTTTCCACATGAAACCATGAACTGAGGAACACTCTCCATGATGACGAGGAAGTGTCAGCAGGGTTAATTGATTTCTAGCCCTTGCATTAGCTTTACTGCTAGATATATTTATGGAGATGAGAAATAAAAGCCCGCCCTGTACAGCTATGATCAGCTGTCCGGCTCGGCTTTCCATGGTACGTAGGGCCCTATAATTTCCGCGATCACGGAATCGCGGATGGAATTACGGAATTGGCAAATTAACGCGGAATCTAGTGTTAATGTGGAATTTTACATATTTGGATTGAATTTCTGTTTTTGTTTGGGAGAAGAACGTATGTCTGGTGAAAATGCAGACCGCGGGAAGCAAATCTGGCGACGCAACCCCTCCCGTCATTTCAGCTCCAATGACGGCATCAAAACAATGAAAGCATGGCGAAGAAGCGGCTCTCCACGGCTCTGCTTTCCTCGGCGAAAAAGTTAAGAAACTCGACGCTATAAGCCCTCAGTGCCGAGCCGAGCAGTTCGCACGGGACTTTTATGCAGTGTTTCCCACACATAGACTAATTCGCGGCCACAAAATCAACTCTGGCCGCCACATTGCGTTTCGTTCATTTTTTTTTACGCTATTTAAAACACGCAGCGTATTCTTTCCGTTGTGTTTCCTTTCCCCGCTCTCCCTCCGTCTCTCTATCACTCACGCGTCTCTCTCACACACACACACAAGCCCCGTTCACACTACACGCGACCAAGCGACGCGATACCATTCATTTCAATGGTGAGCGGGCGACTTCCGGCGACACGCGCGACAGCGACCGTTGGCGACTAGATGGGGCGTGTCTAGCGACGCGACAAAGTTGAGAAATTTTTAACTTTATGCAAATGAAGAGCGATTTTCGCGAGCGACAACCAATAGGAGTGGAGCGCACGTGATCCTTCTCCTCAGCCCCTGGGCCTGCAGTGATGGATGGCAAGAAAGCTGATTCGCTGTCTTTTGGATGTCATACTAGTCAACCAGTAGTGGGAACGCCCACTAGCGACCTCATCGCCAGCGCCTGGCGACTTGCAGCGACAAAGTCGCGTGTAGTGTGAACGGGGCTACACACCGCGTCTGTCTATGAGGCGCCGGACTGGACAAAAGCGAAGCGAACTCCGCGAGCGACACCGGGCGAGAGAGAGACAGAGTGTGAATTTTATTTAAACTTATATAAACTAATATAATTTATTTTACTGGACAGTTTAAAGCTCATAACCATATTTTGTTGTTACTTGAAGACTGCAGTGCCATGTGGCATCATGCAGTATTTGTCCTGAAAAGGCTACTCAGTAAATGTCTGTAATTTAAGGTCATTCCTATTTTATTTGTATACATTTTAATCGTTAACTTTAAAAGCACACTCTTTTTATGACTAAAATAACAGTAAAGGGTAAAAAAAAATTAATTCCCAAAAATTAAAAGGAAAAAAAAAGGAATTTGGAAAAAAATAAAACGGATTTCATAGGGCCCATGTTACGGAAAGGTCGGTTGGTTTATGTCACATGACCTGCGGTGCGCTTGCGGCATTCTGAAAAGTTCAGATGTTTTCATCTCGCCGAGGCACGTGTGCGCCTGGAAAAGCTTCTATTATGAGCGAGGTACTCCATGCCCAGATGCAGGTCAAATAGATACAGAAACTCTCTTATCCCGACTTCGATCTCGATATTAAACAAATTGCCAGAACTGTTTTAATGTACTTAATAACTAACTTATTTTCTATGTATTTTTAGAGATTGTGTGTTTTATACCTTGTGGTAGTGTTGTGTGTTGTGCCTTGTGTTTATCTGCTGGCTGTACAAATAATTGCCCCTCGGGGACAATAAAGTAACCTTGACCTTGAGCTTGCCGCGCGCCTACATTTGAAATAACGAATTTGCACGCGCAAAAACCGCGACATGTGAACGGCCCCAAAGTCAGGAATCGATCAGCGGAATCGAAATGCTTGCGTATTATCAAATCCACGTTTTTTGGAAAATTGTTTTTGGTTCTTGATACCCAACCCTAACCTGGCCCTAGCCAGATGAATTTCGCTCCGCCTAGCTTTACTCACATCCATCTGGAACCTCTTCCATTGAGAGTGATTTCTCCAACCAACTTTATGGTTTAGCCAATCAGGACGCAGGGCGGGAGTTTCATAGATGTGACGTAGTGGAGAAGCGACCGTGAGACTGTTTTGATTCAGACAACAATGGCGGCTCGCATCGAGGAAACAAGCGTTAACATTGATGCTGCTATTTCATCCGTGTTGTCCAATCTACCTAATATTGTTACATTAAAAGAACATCAGAGAACGGCTCTTAAGGCTTTTGTTGGTGGAAACGATGTTTTCGCCCTTCTACCGACCGGAGTGACTTCGGTGTGAGTGGTTGAAATAGCACGTCGATAAAGATGACAGACAAGTGGTTTATCCAATCATATGCAAGGATTTTTGATAAGGCCCAGCCTTCTGAAACGCCATTTCAATGGATCGGTTCGAGATGGATGAGTGAAGCTAGGCGGAGCGAAATTCATCTGGCTAGGGCCAGGTTAACCCAACCCTACATGTACCGCGTCAGTCATGGTCCACGAAACACCCTCTGGCTCCGCCTGCTACAGTCGCCACGCCTCAAACTCTCGCTATTGGCTGAGCTGGAAAGAGACTGACAGATCCGAGCGAACGGCTCTCGATGTGTAGATGCTGCCTGGGAGACTCAATGTTTACACTTTAAGGGAAGATAAACCAATGAATGGCATACTAATCATAGTCAACAATAAACTGGGTTAAGAGAATGTATTTAAAAAAAAACAGCATTAATTGATTTAATGTCTTTTGAAATGCATTAAGTATGACCTTGTTTTTTTTATAGGATGCTTCCTAAAACTTGCCAGATGCTCCTGTTCTCTGCCACATTTGAAGAAACTGTGTGGAACTTTGCGAAGAGGATCGTTCCTGACCCCAACATTATTAAACTGAAGCGTGAGGAGGAGACTCTGGACACCATCAAGCAGTATTATGTCATCTGCAACAGCAAGGAGGAGAAGTTCCAGGCTTTGTGCAACATCTATGGAGCCATTACTATCGCACAGGCCATGATCTTCTGCCACGTCAGTACAATATCATTCATTGAGGAGTTATTTATAGGGATGCACCGAAATGAAAATTCTTGGCCGAAAACCGAAAGAAATTATGCTAATTATTAGTACCATTGCATTTTTGGCTATGACTGTGTACAAACTTTACTAAAATCAAGGCATTGCAATTGCATAAATTAATATAAAATTTTCAAAGAATAAATCATTTACAAATTAGGCAAATATTTATTTGGCACAAAGCACAGTATAAAATATAATTCAAACTAAAATGTTTAACTTGACCCCACTCATGTGTACATTAAATAATAATCTGGCCTGCAGAAAGCTTTTAAAATTAAATGTTCTCTCATAAAAACAAAGCCGAGCACAACCTTCTCATCACACCAGCACCCAGTTCGCACGTCTAAATTAGTTGCTTACGTTTACAAAAATGAGCATACAATAGCATAAAAAGCCTTTTTAATGAACAAAGGTCCATGTTTAATACAAATGTACACGAAACTTAATGAAATATGTTTAGTGAAATTAGAAATTATTTAAGAGAGCGTTAATTTAGTTGTGACATTACAAAAAAATATGTATATGGGAATATGCATGTATACAAGTAATAATCTCAGGGTTTACTGGGTGTTGCATGATTATTTTTGTATTGGTGTTGGTATACTAAAAAATAAACATTGTCACGTGTTTATCTTTCTTCTCACCGATTCCTGATAGAGGACAGTTACTCGAGTCGCTCCCTGTCGTTTCAAAGAATAGTACAACGGCGAGCGCGTCAGGTATAAACGCCTCGACCGTTTGGAGTCTGTGGAGACTCGCGAAAGTATAAACAAGGCTTCCGTCTCCTCGCGGGTTCAGATATACTGAAATACGTCCACACCGCAGTAGGGGTGACCCTGAATAGTCGAAGATTCGATGCTTCGATAGGAGGAGCCTGATTCGACTACCAATCTCACGGTCGAATCTTCGCAGATGTGTTATTAAACGAGGATTATGTCATGTTGGCTATATGAGTGTGCTCAATGTCTGATTTCACATAGAACTACTGGTTTTCTGTCAATACGTTAATATACAGCCTATTATGATAATGCTGTCAATAAAAATGTGCAAAGAAAGAAGCTTTTAATAAATATTTTTTAACGTGCGTGCAGCGTGAATAAATCCAAACACCCCGTGACAGATTTAAGTTTTACTTTCGATCCGTGACCGACAGAGGAGCGTCTTGTCGGCAGGGATTTAAATCTTTAAAAATGTCTGGGATAAGAAAATCTAAAGATGCACACCATCAGAGAGGATATTCTCCAAGGCTGGATTTAGCATCAGGAAAACCATGATCGCACTTCTGCCGGCCAACGTTAACAGGTTGGTTTTCCTCGGGACGTTCTAAAACGCTTAACGTGAAAAAAGCTTTTAAAACGCTTAAATGGCACTTTTACGTGCTTAATGTATGTTCACAGTAGGCTACACACCTTAAGAAACCATTCTATGTGCAGATGATGAACCCAGAATATGAACGCAACTCGTTTCTCCTATAGAAAGTCACGTAAAGCTTTTTCTTTAACGGTTTTCTATGGGAGGAAAATGCTTAACGTAGCCTATAATAAAACGCGCTGCGTTCATATTCTGGGCTCATCTGCTTTTCTGTAGGGTATATAGTATGCTTTATTAATAAGGTGTGTACAGAATTTGATCTTTTAATATAACAGTAACAGTTTTAGGACAAAGCCGTTAAGCGTTTTTCACGTTAAGCGTTTTAGAATGTATTTTATCCGCGCACACAATTTGAAAAGACTCAAACGGACACAGGCCGAGTGAAAGACTGGATTTTGTTTTTTCGATCAGGTACAAGTGATTTCAAAACATTTCAGCCGGTTCTAATTTGATTTTTGGATACTGTGAACACGTTTAGCTAAAAAGACTGCCGCTCCAGTTTAGCGTCTATTGTTGTTTCTGCAGTTAAAAAGACAAAGTTGACAATCCTGGCTATACTTTCGTTATTTTAATAATTTCTTTATTTTTATTTTATTAATTGATCACTCAGGGTGATCTAATTTAACTATTTGTGACTTGTGTTTTGAATATTTGTTCCCCTGCACTTTAGGCATTTTGCACACATTTGTTCTGCATCTTGTAACTTGATTGTGACTTATTTCGTTTTGTATTTTTATTTATTATAAATGTATATTGTGTTCTTAATTGTTGATTATTTTTCAGTGCATCGATGTTGCGCTGTAGGCCTACTTAGAGTCTGCTCGTACAGGCAATTCAGCCGATTTAATTTGATTTGCATGTGAAATGCAAATCCTATCTGCAGTGTGGCGTTTCTGCAGTTATTTGTTATTTCTATATCGTTGTGTGATGTTCTGTACATCGCGGCTTTAAAATGTTAAAGCCCCGCCCCCTCCCCAACACCACACACATGATTCGACTATTAGTCGACTATAGGCAGGACTTGACGAATCTAATTCGACTATGAAAATCCTTAGTCGGGGACACCCCTACACCGCAGACATGTTGCTTCAGACAAGCACGTGCAGGTCGCGGTTTCTGTTTGCGTCATCACAACATTTCGGCCGAAAATTTTCGGTGGCCGAATATTCGGTGCATCCCTAGTTATTTAATTACCTTTATTGGCCTAACTAAAGTAATGCATACATATTTCTAAGTTTAAGGCTATGATTTTCCACCTCAGACCAGGAAAACGGCCGGCTGGCTGGCAGGAGAGCTGTCCAGAGAAGGCCACCAGGTGGCGCTGCTCAGCGGAGAGATGCAGGTGGAACAGAGGGCAGCGGTCATCGAGCGCTTCCGTGACGGCAAGGAGAAAGTCCTTGTTACCACTAATGTCTGTGCTAGAGGTGAATGTCATTTTACCTGTTATACAGCACCTAAAGCAGGGGTCTCCAACTCAGCTTAACTGGGGGCCGCTGGAGGGAGAGTCTGGGTCAGGATGGGTATTCCAAAAAAAAATAGTATTCAAGTATTCCAAAAAAGGAGCACAACTGATCCAATCTTCTCGATCTTTATTATTAACGTTTCTTTTGAACTGTTCTTCTGAATTTGAGCATTCCTTTCTGTGCATGATTGGTTCTTCATGAGCCGTCCTTCTGACAGTTGAAGTTCATTTTACAAACTTTCTTTGTCTTTTCCTTATAACACATCTTTGTGATACTTATATTTGCTCATGTCCTTTTTATTTTCAATATAATATTGAATGTTTTTGTGGAAGGCACATTTCCTTTTATTATACTTAGAAAAACAATTATTGCTTTGGAAATACAAATATTTGCAGTCATGTCTGCCCGTCTTATTGAATTCTCTCTACACATGTATAGTGTCTCAGGCAAACTACTGACTTTGCACAAATCAAAGTGAACCTTCTTATCAACCTGTTGGACACATATTACAAGCTCAACATGATTATTCTCACATTGTTTTAGGCAGGAGTCTCCAACACGTCGCTCGTGGCCTGATTGGTGGTCGCTCGCCAGGGGCCTGTTCACATATCTTGCGCGTTCAGGTTCGTTATTTCAAATGTAGGCGCGCGGCGAGCGAGCTCATAATTGAAGCGACGCGCTCATTTTTTCCAGGCGCAGTATGTTTGTACTTCGCGGTTGTCTATGACAACTATTGACAACAAACCCACCGTGAGCTGTCACGAGACTATCTATGGTAGCCCATAAGGGATAAAAAAAAATAAAAAAACGCGGCACACGCAACAACGGGCCGCACTAACATTAAACTTTAATGTCAAGTAGGGGGCCACAAAATATGACCCCGTGGGACTCTTCTTTAGTTCAGGTTTAGCAGATTTGGCCTAATTGCTGCTTCTACAAACGTTTTTTCTCCTAGGTATTGATGTGGAGCAAGTTTCAGTGGTCATCAACTTCGATCTGCCAGTGGATAAGGATGGCAACCCTGACAATGAGACGTATTTGCACAGAATCGGGCGCACTGGGAGGTTCGGCAAGAGAGGGTTGGCGATCAACATGGTGGACAGCAGATTTAGCATGAACATCCTCAACCGCATCCAGGAGCACTTCAGTAAGTTGAACCTTCGTTTCCCATATTTAACAAATTAAAGAAATGTCCAGGATTAAGCGTAACCGGCAAGACTGGGACATTCTGTTGACGTCCCTCAATTTAATGCAAAAATCGTGTTTATAATAATTCATAATGGGTTAGTCCAATTGTGTATGGGTCAATGGAATAAATGATTAAAATACGTGCTTTTGAAAGTATAGTCAAAGGATAGAAACATGCGCAATAACACAAGGTAGTCACTTAACAACCCAATGTTAAATCCCAAATATGTTCTTTATGAAACGTAAGCTTTTCATATTATTAATATAATAGTATCAATGAACAAAAATGAGCCGCAAAGCTCAGTTTTACTTTTTTTTTTTTAAACAGTTTTGAGACAGAGTTGTTGTTTTAATTTTTTTAAGAAGCTGTTTTGCAAGGACATTTAGACGCATTACGTTGATCAAAAGTGATAATTTATAGTATTATGAAAGATTTGTATTTCAAATAAACGCTGTTCTTTTGAGCCCGAAATTTACCATCACAGGAATAAAATGCATTTTACAACACGTTAAAATAAAAAAGTGTATTCATATAACGTTTTATCCAGGTCCATTCTGTTCATATATTTATATCTGCACTTTTATATATTCCCATGTTCTGAATGTGGGTTAATTGAATTGTCTGTCTTTTACAGATAAGAAAATCGAGAAGCTGGACACAGATGATTTGGATGAAATTGAGAAAATCGCTAACTGAGCGTCCGTCTTTGTTCTTCAAATAGGACTGTGCTCACGCTACATTTTAATTCGGAGGCTGGAAGGGCTGTGCCAGAGAGGATGTTTACACGTGCAGCAGTTTTATCTCAGATGGTGTTTTTAATCACGTTTCACTCTTTGTACTTGTTAATAAATTTTGAATGTGTAGTCTGAACAACACTTGTAGGAGAATGCGTCTGGGAGACTGACACAAGGATTATGCCTTTCAATATTAACGATTGCATCATGCACCTTTTAAATTGACTTTTAAACAAAGTGTGGAAGAAATTACATTGACTGTTATATTGATTTTTAATATGGGATTCCAAACCATGGACTCATTTTGCTGATGGATTTTTTTATTTATTTTTTTTTTATTAAAGTATGCATGGTTCTATATGTCTTGAAAAATTAGCATTTTTGGTCAAGTATATTTGTGTTGTTTGAAACTGGGTGCAGCTACATTTGATTTTGTGACACTCCAAACCCGGAGTCAAATGCAGGGTTTATTTAATCATGAGACATTGCTGTTATTGTATTGTTCATCAATACTCGATACCTCACAAAGTAAAACATTTCTACTGAAAGGATGCTGGCTGTTATTGGCTTTGAATTAAAAGAAGAAAAAAAATGCCAAAGTCCTTTTGTTAGTCTAAAATCATGAAAAAGCCAAAGATTTGTGCCTCCATTGACTCGATTTAACATGGAATAATGCAAACTGGTCTATTGTAATGAAATCTTGTCATGTATGTTTAATAAGTACAAAGAGTGAAATAGTATATTCAACAGATGCAGTGTAATGAAAGCAGATGTGTCATGGCAGAAGCATTATGTGTGATCCCCATCTGCATTGAATTGTGAGCGATCAGGTTTAAGTACACAAATGCAACTGAATTTGTAACCGCAGAAGGCTGTGCCACTTTCCCATTTACAGCCGCCTTAATGTCAAAGGCAGAGGTGAACGCATCTACAATCTCACTGCATACTTCAGGGTAGACATAGCAAATGATTATATATCATGGAATGTTTTAATTGAGCCACTCTAAACTCAACCGACACTGCACTCGGCTCCATTATATACGTGTGTTTTATTCATTGGTATGAGGTTGGGGTAAAGTGTGTCAGTCGCATATTTGAAGGGAAGACTTTTTGATGATGAAATACTACATTGATCAATACATCTTCTGATGCCTTGTTCATTTGTCTTAGTTTGGTTCAAGCTGTCAATCATATTTGACATATTAAATCGAGGGTTTTATTTTTTTGGCATTTTTTCTTGTGAACAACAAATGTTAAGTCTATGATAAATGAAAGGACTGTCTAGAAAGTAACAATTGGTCTGGTGTTGCATCAGATAATAAATGGAGTCGTCTATTATCAAACACATTCCTGCATAATCATTGCTACACCTTTTTTTTTTATTTTATTTTTTTTACTTATGTTACTGAAATAACCATAATGCTCGAGGAGAAGTCATTGATGTTTCCACTTTGCACCACGAGGCTGGTCACAGTGATGAGTCTCATGTTCACCTCAATGAAGATGCTTTTGTAACCGTTTATCACTGTCTATTACATGCAAAAGATATGTTTTGGTTTTCAACAAACATGCACTTACAGATGACAAATCAGCCATTTGAAATTATTAATGATTTCCATATTTCACCTCAACTTAATGTTGATGACAAAAAAAGTGTGTATCGCTTTGTAAGTTGTGTTATGACAGACTCAGTGTGTTTGGAGCTGATCAGTGTCTGTCTGGATGTTACAGGATGAGGAGTGTTTGTGCAGATCTCGATAAAACGAACAGATCCAGCACCTCAGGTTTGCTGCATTTGTGCTCATATTGATGCCTGAATGATGTGTGGTAGAATAAAACTATGAATCTAAGTATCTTTGTCATTTGTTTTATTTTTTTCTAATCTATATAGTATCTATAAAATGTACTTTAGGCTATACATATTTAAATATTAAGGATAACATTTGTTAAAATATAGCCATAAAGATATATTGAAGAATGTTGTCAATCAAACTGTTTTGTTTACCATCGACTTAGTATGAACAAAAAAATACAGAGACATTTCTCAGATCATCTTTTATGTTCCATAGAAGAAAGAAATCATACAGGTTTAAAAACATGAGGGAGAGTTATCTTTTTGGGTGAACTATCCCTTTAATTCCCAATTGAAACCCATTAATCGCATGGCATTCTTATTGTAGTGTAAATGCATTCATGCCATCTCTGAGCTGCAATAATAAATAAATAAAATATTTAAATACCAATTGACACTTCGCAGGGAGTTTGATTGACAGGTGATGTGACCAATCATAATCCGCCCATAGACAGTAAAAGATATTTATTAACCAAATGATTCAATATTTATTATCGAAACACACAGTAGACACTTCAAGTACACTTCAACTTCATAATGATACATATTCAAAGTCAGTGGCCTACAGTGAATATTGATAAGGGAGTTGTCAAGACCAGTCGGTCTTTACAGTCTATGGTCAAGACACCTTTAAATTAGATTTATCTTTATTGTCAATGTGTAGAGCAGCCTACAAGTACAGAGACAATTCAATGCAGGTAGTGTCTAACCAGAAGTGCAAAATACAGTATAGACAGGTAGTGTAACACTTACAGTAAATGACTTAGTGCAGTGTAGACAGTAGTATACAGTTAACCTAGTGGTATGGTTTACAGTAAGGATATGTGCAGTGTATTAACGGTTGAAATTGCCCCGTTGCTTTTATGGACTCTATTGGCTTCTCCCTTGACTTTATGCCTCCACGTCCCCCCGGTTGCCTGCGAGCTTCTCCTCCTGTCTGTACGGTAATTTCTCTACTGTGCGACAGAGAGTCGCGTGGCTATGACGCAATCGTTAGCCTATTTTTACAAAAAACGGCTTCTACGGGACCATAACGTAAGATACACGGTAACGGAGACTTTTATACATTGTCGTGTTTCTTTAGAAATAAACAATGGACAAATGGAGTCTTTAAAAGCCTCAGATGTAAACTTATTCGCTGTCAAAGTGACGCCAAAATGAATGGAAGTCAATGGAATGCTAACAGTATTTGATGGCTTGCTAGCCAATGGCGGCCTGCATGGTACGCTTTCCGGGTGCTGGATAACTCCCTTTGTGCGAACATGTCTTGCTGTGTAGCATACAAATGTTCTAAGAGACAAGTCTCTTCTTCCGCGTTAAGCTTTTTCAGGTAAGTCCAGTGTCTCCATCATATTTGAATCATATAGGCCTAAGCAGAGGTGTAAAGAGTAACGTTACCCGAAAACCATACTTGAGTAAAAGTACAGATACCTTACAGTAAAAAAATAATCAATTAGAAAAAGTCACCAATTCCAATACAACTTGAGTAAAAGTCTTAGAGTATCTGATTTCAACAGTATTTAAGAATTTTACTCGTACTGAATGTGGCTAAAAAAAAATGCTGGTAGACCTCGACAGCTGAGAGACATGCAGGCGAACGAAACAATTCATTTGTAAGATGAGAAATCATGTTTATTTTCTCAAATCAAAATAAAGCTGAACACCTTAATATTGCAATAAATCAAGGTCGACACAACAGCCTTAAACGTCTACAAACTCTCAGTTAAGCTCAAGTGCACAAAAAGGCTAGAAGTAAACCAACATCCTTCAAAAAGGCCTTGTCAATATAGAGAATATATAAAATAAATAGTGTTAATTAAAATTAACTAGTCAAAGTCTACTTGCATCGGATGTGCTGGTTTTAGCCTCATCAGCAGCTGCAGAGAAACCAAGCACAAAAACTAAGGGTACTCCAAGTGATATGCCACAACAACAGGTTTATTTTAAGTGAATGGCTGCAACAATAAAATATTTGTGAATATAGTGTATGTGCATGCACATATGTGCGTTTGTGTGTGCATGTCTGTACATGCACATTCACATGGGTGTGTGTCATACAACAGCCTATAGTGCCCAGTTGAATGCTTTCTACCAATTTTAATAGGCCTATACCACCACACCCACATTTTAGTGAGTGACCGATCAGCTTGTGCATCGTCACTGCAATTGATTTATTTAATTCATTTTCTTGAACAATGTGAACAATGTGATATGCTTTTTTTCTTTGCAGGTTCCCCCTCAATGATAAAGACAGGTTGCAGAAGTGGATCCACAATGTGAAGAGAAAGGGCTGGACACCAAACAAGCATTCTCGCCTCTGCTCCCTTCACTTCACACCGGACTGTATCATCACTGCCCAGGAACGAAACAGACTTAAACCAGACGCGGTGCCAACCATCTTCTACCCCCATTGCCAGGTGAAGGTCGAGGTGAGGCACACCAGAGTAAGAGTCAGTAAGAACACAACGGTTAGAGAGAATGACTCTGACACAAAAGCTGGTATACGCAGGAACTTCAGTCATGACCATGATTACAACAGTGGCACTCGCAGTGAACCACAGACAGCCGAGATGAGTGTAAGCAGCTGCAGCCATAGCCATTCTGCAGATCATGGTGCATATACACTGAAAGATTCCCTCAGTCCGCTAAAGAGGAAGTTATCATATGCTCAAAGTAGCTTGCGTTCTTGCAAGAAAAAATTGAAGCTTCAAGAGCAGAGAGTCCGAAGACTGAAGCAGAAAGTGAAGTCTCTCTCTCTTCAGTTGTCACTGATCTGAAAGAGAAGCTGCTTGTTTCCACCAGCTGATATGCTGGAGGCTTCCTTTAGCGGTGTTGCGAAAACTGCCCAACGCATCACTGCTTCCTCACACCCCACCATCAAGGCCATCCAGGGCAAGCGATGCTTAAGGCGCACAGCATCACCAAAAACTGATCTCACCTCAACCAGACTGTTCACCCCATTCCCCCCCAGGATGCGTAACAGGTCTCTATGCACCCGGACCAGCAGGTTCAGCCCACGACACCTCCTTGCCTGTGCTAGGGGTGTAAATCGGAGCCTTAATGACGATTCGATACAATACCGATTTCTTAAGCCAACGAGTCGATTATTTTCGATAATTTCCTTCGATACAATTCAATACTAGATATTTTTACATGATATCTATTAAGTTTCAAATAAAAAAAAGGCCGGTGGCGTGAGGGTTAATGAACGTCACCTGTGAGACGCACCGGTCTCTCGGTCTTCAGCGTCGTCGCTCCTCTTTTTATGCTTCCGTTCCTCCGTGAGAGATGCGAGACCGGTGCGTCTCACAGGAGACGTTCATTAAGGGTGTATTCACACCAGGAAAGTCCGATAGTTCACTTGCTTTGGTCTGGACCAAATCTTTTTTTTTTTTTTTTTTGGTACGGTTCGCTTCACACTGCTCTTTTTGCAAGTGAACCAAAATTTGTAAACAAAACCACACGTGTGCTAAGGTCGTCCAGTCATTGGACAAGGATTCTCAAGTAGGGAAATCAGGAAGTACACAAAAGGCTCAGCATGGAGATATTTCGTACTGCAATATTTGTTATTTTACTAATTTTGTGTTATTCTGTACAAACGCAATATGAAGAAACTGCGCAGAAGACGGATAAGGTATAAAGTTTTTATTCATAGAGAGGGGCTATGTTCACACATTCAAATAATGAGATTCTTATTCTATATACTGCTAACAAGTGCTGTCAATGTTAACGCTTGCGATTAAGTTTGTCCAGTTTAACGCAGCGTCATCCTTGTATTGTAACTATCATTACATTATATGAACTGCAAAAGCTTTTTTTGCATCTATGCGCGATTAGACTAAAGAGAACGCTCTGTATGTGAATGTCCTGATGCACACACTCATTCATTCCATTCCAATGATGCACACACACGGCGCGCAGAAAGACGCGCAACAGTATCGTGTGGCCAGACAGCGCGCCGGAATGGAATTCTCTTTCGCACTTGAACAACAATAACACAAACCATTATGCCAAAATCTCCGACTACGGAAGCCTGTTAACTCAAAGGCGCAGTGCTTTCTTGCAGTTGGGTCGGTTCATGTTCACACCGTAAACGAACCGTACCAGAGTTCGTTTGGAACCGTACCGAGACCACCTCTTCAGCTGGGTCTCGGTTCGGTTGTTTGGTCCGCACCCAACATGTGTGTGTGTAACTTTTCACTTTCATTGCCAGCTCGCTCTGACGGTTCCATCGCTCTTGAAAGTCAGACTCAAAAATGTGTGTGAACATAGATAGACTGTGAAACGTAAGTAACGCGTGTGAAGTAGAAGATAATAATGAGGTTAGCGCCACCCGCAGCTTAGGAATAGGTTGTACGCATATGTCAGAGCTGATGCTGAAAATAGACAGGCGGCAAAATAAACACATTAATCGATACTCTTGCGGACGCATTGAATCGTCGGCTGTATAATCGATGGATCGATACGAATCGATTAATATTTACACCCCTAGCCTGTGCCTGATGAGCTGAACCGCGTCCATGGGGCTGCTTTGACAGGGGCAACAAGGAGGGTGATGCACGATACCCCCCTGCATTCCCAACACAAAGGTAGCCATCACACTGTTCATCCATTTACGGGACTGGTCAATTTTCCCCAGAAGGCCCGATCTCCAGCGACGTCTCTGGGTGATGTCAGATGATCCTCTGAGGGACGCGCCGATAGAGATGTTGCAGATCCTGCTTCATTGCTGCGACGAGATCGATGCTCTTCCTGCATCCCAATCCCAAATCGTTCCCGCCGCAGTGAATCAGCAGGACATCCGGGACTTCTCTTCCTCTAAGGGACCGGTAGAAGAAAGGAAGGAGTCCGTGCCATCGAAGTCCAAACCAGTGAACCTGGGCCACGATTGGCCCCTATGGTCTCTCTTCCCCACGACGCATGGAACTGCTGCCCATGATCCAAATCACTGGACCTGTTAATAGCAAACAGCAATTACAATCAGAACATTGTTTTGTCAGTAAACATATTTTAACACGCACAAGTAAATTGTCTCGGTCCATTGATTTATTCATTCTATACAATAAAACACAAATGAATTGCTGTTATCTGTTCATTGAAATAATGACAATATAGGTATTACACAAGGTTCATTTATTATTTTATTCTCTCTTACGGTCAATGTGTTGTATAGTGTCATATTTGACTTTAATCTAAATTATACTATAGCTACATGGTTTACCTTTGTTAGCTTTAGTGCTAAAACGTTAGTATTTGAACCTATGAGGAAAGAAAAATGAAAAGGGCAACCATTAGTTATAGATATCATTGGTGACATTTGTTTTTGTCCCTCTTTTATCTATATGTTATTTAACAGGCCAAAGCAGACGGTTTTGTCCAAAGCGATTTGCTTGATAGCTTTTTTATATGACTGACTCGTCCATTTCTCTTGCGATGTAGATAACAGTTAACGCCATTTTGTGGTTATATTCCGCGACCATTAACGTTATACAACATCATGTGCATCAGTTAACCTTGTTAATTGACCCTTCGCTAAGCCCCGCCCTCCCTAGTTACTGTTGCTACGCCTGTCAAGCTTTCGCGGCTGCCACGTCTATTACAGTGTGAATGCACCGGTGTCAGACATTCCCAAGGAGATATTTAGTCATTTTTGGCAAACAAGTGAAATATCTGAGAGAGCAAGACAAAAGGGACTGCAGTATGCATTCGAGGGATATATCCACGACATATGCAACCGATTAGAGAATAATTTAATCAAAATTGAAGCTAAAGCATATAACGTTAGGTCCCAGCGCAAGCAGCAGCCGCCTCCTTAGCAGACCATTCACATGGGAAACACAAATTGAACAGCTATGTTCATGCACAGCAGAGTAAGTGAAATGTGAAAATAATCTAATATCAAATCAATTTAAATCAAACAGCTTATCCATCAATCTAACACCGGGAGAGCCGCGTTCGGATTGGGGTAAAGTTACAGGGGTAAAGTTAACGTTAGTAGGCCGTCCGCCGTCGATTAACACAATGCTGAAACATATTTTAAAGCAGGGGCGATTCTAGGATTTTTTCAACTGGGGGGCACAAGAGGGGCCACAATTATTACAGAGGGGCCATTCTTATGTTGTGTTTTTATGTAGAACTGTAGATATCCAAATCATTTCAAGTTCAGTAAGCTTTAAAATCAGCAATAAACAGTGATACCCTATTATCTTTTAATAGCAGTTATTCACTGCTCAAAATCAAAACAATAAAATAAAATTTATATTAACTTTTCACTTTACAAAAGTGAAAGAAAAACTGTAATAAATAAAATAATCGTATTAGTGTACAACTCACAAATAATAATAGAACAGCCTTATTTATATAAATGCATAATTATATTAATCATTCATATAATACACAATTAATGAATTCATATAACTGTAATAAAATTGTATATAATAAATCTTTTTTAAATCCTTGATTATGCGGCGATGGAATATGCAGGATATTTATGCAATTTTATGTGATGAAATTGCGGGAACTTGCAAAAACTGCGGTTTGATGAAAAAGAGAGAAAAAGTGATTCCCCCAACACCCTTTTCTCACTAGGCTACTATCTTAATGTAAAGAGCTATTTCTGGTAACACTTTACTTGAAGGGGTGTGCATAAGACTAACATGACACCTTCATAATCATGACATGACACATGTTATGAATATGAAGGAAGTTTTATGCATGTTTGTGACAACTGTCATTAAGTGTCATTCACTCAATTATGACATTTTTAATGCAAATATGACATTGTTTGAGATGTCTTTGTTATGACACCTTGACATAAACCAATACATCATAACCTGTCAGTGTCTTTGTCATGACAACTTGACATTACTAAGACAACACAACCTGTCATAAACATGACATAGCAGATTAACTATCAAACTTAAAGGAGAACTCCGGCGCAAAATGAACCTTTGGTCTAATTACACATTGTTACCTAGTCAACCGTTATCTGAGATTTGTTTTCATGATTATCGAATGTAAATAGTTTTATCTCTAAAAACAGTTTAGCCTATAAAGCTAGTATAACGCTAGTATATTGGGCATAGTGTAATGACAAATAAAAATTGCTTAACAAGGCTCAAAATAGCCCCACACTAACACGGTTGCATAATGAGGGTCCCTACCTTCAAACCGAAGCATTGAGAACTTTGTCAGTGTCCAGACAGTTTAATAAGAAGATATTTTAAACATACAGTCAACTTCGCGTATACAGACAGGAGCCATCTTTGAAAAACAGTCTTTACCAGTCGATCTACGAACGCCGATCCAAGCCTGCTGTTCGCGCTCACCTTATCACAACTTATAGCTCGTTCACATCTCACCAGCGCACTTGGATCGGCGTTCGTAGATCGACTGGTAGAGACTGTATTTCAAAGATGGCTTCTGCCTGTATACGCGAAGTTGACTGTATGTTTAAAATATCTTCTTATTAAACTGTCTGGACACTGACAAAGTTCTCAATGCTTCGGTTTGAAGGTAGGGACCCTCATTATGCTGCCGTGTTAGTGTGGGGCTATTTTCAGCCTTTTTAGTGGTATTAACAAGCGATTTTTATTTGTCATTACACTATGCCCAATATACTAGCGTTATACTAGCTTTATAGGCTAAACTGTTTTTAGAGATAAAACTCTTTACATTCGATAATCATGAAAACAAATCTCAGATAACGGTTGACTAGGTAACAATGTGTAATTAGACCAAAGGTTCATTTTGCGCCGGAGTTCTCCTTTAAGAAACCACTTAGCTTTATTGGTTAACATTACATTAAACTGTCAGGTGGTTGGTTTTGACATTGGCTGT